TGCCAGCCCCTCCCAAGCCAGCCAGGGAAACCGGGCGTGGGGGCACAATGCCTGTAATCCCACTGTTGGGGAGGCTGAGACAGGAGGATCACTGCATCTGAATCACATAGTGAGACCCTGTAACAAATAAATAAATAAATAAATAAATAAATAAATAAATATAATTTTTTTAAAAACCAGCCCTCAAGCTGGAGTAGGGAGTAGAATCACTCCAATGATGCATGGCATAATTTCCAGAAAAGCAGAAAATGATAGGACTCAGTTCTTGGGGGTGCTGCCCACAACATATTGGCCAGGAGCACAGGTCCCAGGGTGCATAGGTATGAACTGGGGCTGATGAGGAAGACAGGACAGAAAGGCCCAGGTGGGAAGGAGGCTGGGCACTGGTCCCTGGCAGCAAGGGGCTTTCTGGGGAGGTTTGTGAGCCTGGAGACAACCTTCCTAGAATGTCACAGAGAAAAGAAGTTTGGCATCTGTGCAGGGGTCAGCTGGCCAGGTGGCCAGGCAAGGACAAGGCTGGGAGGTGCTGCAGGCCCAACACTGGGGAGAGAGGTAGGCCTGGGCTGGGAAGTAAGTGGTGGTCTCAGTGGAGGCATAAGAGGGAACTCATTGGGTTGGGTGGAGAGTAAGTGCAACGTGGAAACCAACAGAATCTTGAGGCCCTGCTAATCTCTGCTTCCAACCAGTGAGCCAGGAGAAGAGTCAGGCCCAGGGCAAGGTAGGGTCTGCCAGCACCCCATGTTGGGAGCTGAGAGGGGGCTCCAGGCCTGTTGCAGTGCAGGAGATGTGCCCCTCTCTATCCCTACTCATGCAGGGCTAAGTGTGCACAAGGCTGGCTTGAGCTAAGGATGCGCCGGCCAAGGGCAGGCACGTAGTCCTCTGGCTCCCAGCCACCAGGCTCACAGGTTTCCGGGAAAGGCTGACACAGGCCTCTCTGTTCCTTACATCTGAAAATATGTGGCTGGGGAAGCCTAAATTAATTAAGTGATGCTGAGGCCCCAGGCCCTCCCAGGGCAGTGCACAGGGACAGATAGTGAGGCCCAGGCATGCTGCATCCCCACCCCCAGTGCTGGAATCCAAGGAGGCTCATGAGCTTCCTTGGAACCAAGCCCGCCCTTAAGTGCTTCCCAGGAGACAAAGAAATAATCAATCAGGAGCAGGCACCCTGCCCACATGCTGCCACCACCACACCACCCAGCTTCTCCTCAGACACATGGTCTCTGGGACTGACATCGCTGGGAAGCAACAAATGACAAAGCTCCAGAATTGATGTGATCCTATGACCTCCCAGAAATGAATGAGGCCAAGCCAGGCTGGTGAGAGCCCCCCTTCACACAGCAGCAGCATTCACTACCCCACAACCTTCCCAAGAACCCCTTCAATGATGCATCAGACCTCAACCAGACACTAGTACACAACAACTGTCCTTCCACCCTCACCCAAATCCTATCTACCAGGACCCCCCAGTTCCCATGCTACTCCCCCACATCAATGGTCCAGCATGGAACACACTTGGGTTTATCAAACTGAGGCCTCTACTGTGTCCCCTGAATAAAACAAAGAGCAAAGTTGTCTCTCTGCACACAAATCTCCAAGTTGTCTCTAAAGAATATAATGAACTTCCTACTAAGCACTACACACTGGTAGATATTATTGTGCAAGACTTCTTGTTATTACAGGCTTCCTGCAGGCAGATGGCATAGTGACTGAGAGCTGGAGCCGGAGCTAGGTCACTTGCATTAGAATAAGACTGTGGCACTTTCCAGCTCTGTGACTGCAGCTAAATCACCTCACTTAGCATCCCTGACTATAATGGGTGATATGAAGGTTGGTGAGAGGATGAAATGAGTTAATATCTGCAAAATACATAGAACAGTGTCTGGCTCACCTAAGCACTTCTATGTGTCCAATAATTAGCTATTCTTTCCTTTCCATTTAACTTACTTCAGGCACCAGATATGTGACAGGTAACAACAGTTGAGGTGCTCAGTGGAGGAAGGAGAGATAAAAGCTTCTATTTTGTCCTATGGGGTTGGACAAGAAGTTCCTTTTGTCCCATAAGTTATGCTTACATAAAAAATTCCCTAGAGTTCAACAGAGTTCAAGGGAAGAGTATGCCACAGACACAGAAAGACACCCTTGGAGGCAAGGTAGCATGTCTGAGACAGGTCAGCACCATGGACAGCTCAGACAGCCCAGAGCCCAGGAAATAAAGCTCTGTGTCTTTCCTAGGCTCAGAGAGCCATTTTGCTGAGCCTTTGCTGAAGGAAGTCCTCACCTACTTGTGACTTCTGCATGCCAGTCCTTGAGGCTAAAGATGGAAGGAGGATGCCTATGATATGGAAGCTGAGGAATGAAGCCTAGTGTCCCTCCCTGAGGGATTCAGTCTAGCACCTTCCTTCTCTTACAGGTCCTCACCTGCTTCTCTTCCTTATTCTACCCCAGAATATCACTTTGCAGAAGGATCAGAGAGGGCATAATGAGGTGCAGGAATGGGAGGTCCCATGGCCTGGGTTTAAATCCAGGCTTTGCTGCAGAGATCTCAGGCCACTGACCCAAATTCTCCACACCTGGTTTCCTGCTGACTTAGGGGTGTACCAGGATGTGGGGGGTAAGGTGGAGAAAAGTAGCTCCCACACTGCCCCGGCACATAGAAATGACTTAATAAATGAGACCACTTCCTGCCTTACAGCAACAGCGATGGAGTGAACCTAGAGCCCTGAGAAGATGACATGGCTCCATGCTCAGGAATGGACCTGTATTATGTGGGACAGAGAAGTGGAGAAGGTGTCTGCACCTGGGCAACACTGGGAACATTTCTCTTCTTGAAGAGCCCACTGTTCTTCAACCACAAAAAACAAACTTTCTATCTCAAGTCCTTTCCTGCTTCTTGCTTTTAATCAGACAAAAGTAGGCACAAATGACACTGCTCCAGGAAGCTACCCCTTGGAAAGCCTCATAATGAGACAGCCAAGGACCTCATTGGTCTTAAACCTAAATGACTGAAGAGCCAGACAGGTGACATAAGTGGGGCCAGCTTGGGGATGGTGGTGTAGGATGAGTCACAGGTCTTGTGTGCACCCAATAAATCAAATAATATAACTTTCCCAATCTAAGGAGCCCTCTGCAGGGGCCTTCTGTCTGGAAGCTGTGGTGAGGGCTCTCATCTAACTGCTTGCTGGACAAAGTCTGGGACTGGGGCCCTGAAGGGAGCTATGATCAAGGCGATCCAGAGCCAGGCCTGACCCTGGTTGGGCTTCTTGGGACAGGGAGTTTGGGCTCTGTAGTGCACACGTGGCAGAGCCTTTCTGGGGTGCCTGGAAGGTGGAGTGTGAGCATTAGAGGGCAAGGCTGATGCTGCTCACCCTGACACCCTGTCCTCCGTCACCTCCTCCTATAGCTGGAGCAGGGACCTAAATCAGCTCCTTCATGCCCTCCGCCTTCCACCGGCTCTGGCACAGCCTGGAATCACAGTGCCCACCTAGCCAGTGGGACCAGCCAGGCAGTCAGGTGCATGTCTTTTCATCTGCGTTACACCAGACCCTCAGCTGAAACAAGAGGATAAGACAACACATTTTATGACAAGAACACTAGCAAGTGTTTGCATTGCTTTTACTCTGAGCCTAGCATGCACGCTAAGAGATAGGTGCTGTTATTATTCCATTTTCCAGGTGAACTGAGGGAGGGATAGAGAGGAGAAACGCTAGTGGAGTGAGTGGCAGAGCAGGGAGTGGTCCTGCTGTCTGTCTGCCTCTACAGCTTGCCTTCCTTGACTGCCTCAGGTGCCTGAGGCAGGTTGGACACGGTTGGAAGGCGTAGCCCCACCTAATTAATATTACTAGATCCGGTTGAGTCCAGGCCCCGGTGAGAGGCAACTTGTAATCACAACAGGATCAGCCCCCAACCTCCACTAGCTCCCAGCCGCCCTCCTGCCAGCTCAGGGACTGGAACTCCACAGTAGCTCTGGTGCCTGTCAGGTCAGGCCAAAGTTCTTCTGGGGACGCGGCAGGCCTAGCGCTGAGCCTGGCCAGCTTAGCCTGGCGCTGAGAAGAGGACTGGGGGAGAAGCACTCTGGGAAGGTGAGCCTCCTTCCCCTGTCTCCGATGGCCGCGGAGAGAGGGCTCTTGGCCGGCGAACGTCGCGGCGCCCACACGGGCTTAATAGGCTCCGGAGGGATCCTAGAGCATCACTTCGGCAGCTCCGAAGCCTGGCGGCTTGGAAGATAGGGGTTAGGGAGGGTAGAAAGTGGGCGGAAGCTCCCAGAGCCCAGGGGCAAGGGGCTGAAGCGCAGAGGGCCTGGGAGGAGTTAGTGGGGGTAGGCTGAACAGGGGACACCCACTGAAAAGCGGGAAGTGGGGAGAGTCCAGTGGGGGCGCCTAGGCTGTGCGGGAGGCTGAGCGCGACTGGGTGAGGCAACCTCTGCCTCAGTCCCTCCAGGTTCACAGTCGGAATTAGCTGCGGTGACATTCCGCCTAAGGGCTGGCCAGTGGGAGTCGGCTCCACAGTCTCCGAGCCTAGCCCTCCCTTCCCCGGGGCTGGAAAGAGCCTAGGGCGGGGCCAGGAGGAGGTTGGGGGGTCAGTGCTCAGTGGCCCTCGGGTCTCGGCTCTGCACGCCAGCTGAGAGCACAGATGGACGCGGCGCGGCTCACCTCGGGGGCGCCCTGCCCGCTGTGCGCCCAGATCCAAGCTCAGGCGGAGATCTCGAGCCGCGCTGCGCCCTCCCCGCGGGGTCGTGGGGACCCGGCCGCCGCGCCCCTTTTCTCAATGGGAGAAGAGTGGGCGCAGTCCCTGCTAGTCCAGAGCTGGGGGAACTAAGCGCCGGCTCCGCCCACGCCGCGCCTATCCCCAGCTGCTACCCCAGGACTCTTCCGCACCCATACTCCTTCCTTGGGCTCCCAGCCCGGGTGCCTCAAGGGCGCGGACCCCCGCCCGGCCGCGCCCCGCCCCCGCCCCCGCCCCGCCGACGTCGCATTAGCATGAGCGACGCAAGTGGCCGGGCATCACTCGGGGGCCGGGACTCGCCGCGTCACAGCCCCAAGTGGAAGGGGGAAAAAAAGAGGCGGCGGCAGCGGCGGCGGAGGCAGGAGCCGGAGAGAGGGAGGGGAGTGCGGCGGCCTGGCGAGCAGCGGACGCGCAGCGGCAAGCTGTCCCGCGCACCTAGTCCCGGGTACCCTCCCCTCTACGCACCACCTCCCTGGCTGCTGCGCCCCGGGCCCCGGATCGGCCCACAGTAGCGGCGGCGCCTCGCCGCGCGAGTTCTTGTCTTTGCTTGCGCGCCGGACATGAGCTCCACCGCCACCTGAGGCGCAGGGGGCGCTGCGCGGGAGGACCGCGCCCCCGGGCTCCCCGTCTCTGCACTGCGGGGCGTCCGCTCAACCCTGGTGGAGGCGGTTGCACAGGAACACAGCGCTGGAGGCATGGAGCCCGAGGCGCCTGCGGGTCAGGCCCGGGCGGCTGCGGCCAAGTTGTCGGAGGCTGTGGGCGCAGCGCTGAAGGAGCCCCGGCGGCAGCGGCGCCTGGTGCTGGTCATCGTGTGTGTGGCACTGCTGCTGGACAACATGCTGTACATGGTCATCGTGCCCATCGTGCCGGACTATATCGCCCACATGCGCGGCAGCAGCGACAGCGCCATCCCGGGTACCGAAAGCTGGACACTCACCCCACCACCCCCCACAGCGGCCAATGCCTCAGTGACCAATGCCTCGGTGCCCCCGACGGCTGTGGGCCCGGCCTGGTCATCCCTGCGACCCCGCTACCCCACAGAGAGCGAGGACGTGAAGATTGGGGTGCTGTTCGCCTCCAAGGCTATCCTGCAGCTGCTAGTGAACCCCCTGAGTGGGCCCTTCATCGACCGCATGAGCTACGACGTGCCGCTGCTCATCGGGCTGGGCGTCATGTTCGCCTCCACGGCCCTTTTCGCATTCGCTGAGGACTACGCCACACTCTTCGCCGCTCGCAGCCTTCAGGGCCTGGGCTCGGCTTTCGCCGACACGTCCGGCATTGCCATGATCGCGGACAAGTACCCCGAGGAGCCCGAGCGCAGCCGCGCTTTGGGGCTGGCCCTGGCCTTCATCAGCTTTGGAAGCCTGGTGGCCCCTCCCTTCGGGGGCATCCTCTACCAGTTTGCCGGCAAGCGCGTGCCTTTCCTGGTCCTCGCGGTAGTGTCGCTCCTCGACGCGCTCCTGTTGCTGGTGGTGGCCAAGCCCTTCTCGGCCGCTGCCAGAGCGCGGGCCAACCTGCCAGTGGGCACACCCATACACCGTCTCATGCTGGACCCCTACATCGCCGTGGTGGCAGGCGCACTTACCACCTGCAATATACCTCTAGCCTTCCTGGAGCCCACCATCGCCACGTGGATGAAGCACACGATGGCGGCGTCCGAGTGGGAAATGGGCATGGTCTGGCTGCCGGCCTTTGTGCCGCACGTTTTGGGCGTCTACCTCACCGTGCGCCTAGCGGCTCGCTACCCCCACCTGCAGTGGCTCTATGGCGCGCTCGGGCTGGCGGTGATCGGCGCCAGCTCCTGCCTCGTGCCCGCCTGCCGCTCCTTCGCGCCGCTAGTGGTCTCGCTCTGCGGCCTCTGCTTTGGCATCGCGCTGGTCGACACGGCGCTGCTGCCCACACTTGCCTTCCTGGTGGACGTGAGGCACGTCTCTGTGTACGGCAGTGTCTACGCCATCGCTGACATCTCCTACTCGGTGGCGTATGCCCTGGGGCCCATAGTGGCCGGTCACATCGTGCATTCGCTCGGCTTTGAACAGCTCAGCCTGGGGATGGGCCTCGCCAACCTGCTCTACGCTCCCGTCCTGCTGCTCCTGCGCAACGTGGGCCTCCTCACGCGCTCCCGCTCGGAGCGGGATGTGCTGCTGGACGAGCCACCGCAGGGCCTGTACGACGCTGTGCGACTGAGGGAGCGCCCTGCACCTAGTGAGGACGGCGGGCCCAGCAGCCCTCCCGGGCCTTTGGACGGGTGCGAGGACGACTACCCCCGCTACTACACCCGCAGCTAGGACCTGCTGCCTCTCCAGACCCCCTTCCTCCCCCTCGGGTACAGGTGGCTTCACTGCTGGCCCCAACTCAGGCTCAGGGCCCCTCCCGCGAGCACGCAGCCCCTCCTCAGTCCTGTCTTCACTCTCCCAGAGCCCTTCTCCGGGGCCACTCCCTATTCCCCCCCATGGGGCATGTATGTAGAGCCTTGGAGACCCTGAAGCCATTAAGCCCCGGGAAGAAGAGAAGCAGTGTGCGGGCCAACCAAAAATCTTCCCTGGGTAGAGCGGCTGCGTCTGTCTATCCTCCCTTGCATTCCTTCCAGTGCCAAACTCGTGTCGCACCGCGGTGCCTCGGGACGAATTAATAAACTGTGTCTGTCCGAGGAAGCCGAGTCTCTTTACTGCTGGGGGTGGGAGGCCTGCTCAGAGCAGGGCAGAAGGGAGGGTGAGTGGTCTCTGAGTCCTGGCCGGGCCTGTCCAGCAAACACTGGCGAACAGCAAACATTTTGCTGCCTGGAAAGCGGTGCAAATAAAACAAACCTCACAGGGGCTCTCACCACAGACCCCTTACTGCACACGTTCCCCTCAGCCAGAGACAGTCCCTCTTCCCCAGAGCAGCGCCCCGGGGTGCCGCCTGGGGGAGCCTGAGACTTTGTGCGCCGGTCTGCCCTTTGACGACACGCCCAGAACCCGCCTTAGCGCTGGGGAGTCCCTGCTGCGCTTCCCTTCCAGCCCGGCATCGCGCCGGACCTTCCAGCCTGCCAGAAAGGAGCAGGAACAAGCTGTGCGCCACAGAAGAAACACAGGGCCCATCTTTCAGGCCATGACCTCAGGAAGCCAAATGCTTGTTCTAGCGCCGGGCTCTGATCTTGGAGCAATGGCCAGGTCAGGAGGGCTGGACAGAAGACAGGAGGAGCCTGGTGCCAGCCCTCAGCCCCACCCCGACCTCAGTGGAAGCATCAGGAAGGTTTCTTATCCTGGGTTCCCGGCCTGGGAGAAGGGGACCCTCAGGTGGGGGACACCCTCAGCCTGGCAACCCCACCAGTCCCGCTAGTCTGGCAACTCCAGCAAGAAGATGCCCAGGATTAGGGACACCTTTGGTGTCTGCTAGTCTGGCTGTGTCGGGAGAGTGGAGTCAGTCTGTGAGTCATCTGTGTGCACGTCTAGGGGCTGTCAATGGTGGCATCTTTGTCTCAAGAGTGTCTGCCCTCTATCACAGTCCCTGAGCAGCACCCTGTATGTCATCAGGGTGGGCCCACGTCTGTGTTCCCTGCTCCCAAATCCCACCCTAAGCACCAGAGGATGGAAGGTAGAATAGAGAGGAAGAGGGTATGGATCAATAAGCTGATTCTTTTTGTATTCTTTGGAAAGGAGGGTTTGAGCCAGGCTGTGGGTGGCAATGGTTTCCTGGACCTCAACATTCATCAGGGTTCTGCATAGGTAGCAGCTTGGGGATCATGAGGCAGGGGATCCTAGGTCTGGGGATCCCAGAGGTTGGGAATCCCAAGAACCAGGGAAGCTGAGCTGGAGGCAAGGAGCAGGGACAGGACAGTGCTCTGCACCCTGGTCCCGGTCCCAGGCCTGGAGTCCACTGTGGATGCCCAAGAGTGCCAGGAAGCGGTCTGGACAGGTACCAGGGCTGGGGCGGGATCTCGGGTGGGGTTTTCAAATGGAGGACAGTGGAGGAGAGAAAGAAGGGAGGAGGCAGGGGAGGGAGGGAAAAAGAGCAATGGGAGGGAGGAGGAAAGAGAGGCGCGGCCGCTCCCCGGCAGCCAGTCCTGCAGCCACGGAGCCCCACGCAGTGCCCCCACTCTGCGCTACTGATGCGCCGCCCCCTGATCCCGGCTCACACCCCCACCCCAGTCTGCTTGGTGCGGGACAGCGGCAACAGAGACAGAGGAGCGCAGGAGAGCAGGTGAGAGGGCTGGGTGGGCAGGGAGCTGGGACTGTGTCCAGGCACCGACTTTCTGGGGTATAGCAAAGGGTAGTGTCTGAATCCTTGGCAGCCAGGTCCGTTGGCCGTCGGGGGCGTCAGGACTCAGCAGCTTGGGTGTCTGGGCTGGGAGAGGCTTGGCCATCAGGACTGCGGACTCACACTCGGTTTTCCATCACCTAGAAGCACCGAGGTCTGCATTTCTTCTGCTGGATGGGAGGAACTGTGGGTCTCATCTCAAGCCCCTAAGCAGCCATGAGCACCCAGCTCTGTCCAGACTGGGGAGGGTTGGGGGAGTGGCAGAGGCTGGAGTCGGCTGTGGTACACAACCAGACTGGTGCTGGACCTCCAGGGGATAGTTGAGACCCCTCCCAGTGGCCTTCTGGGGAGACACATCAGGCAGACAGATGGCAAAGCAGACATTGCTCTGAGGTGTGGGCTGAAGAGCCAAGGAAGAAGAGGGGCTAGCACAGGAAGCTATCCAGGAAGCCATCCGGATGGGGTCCTTGACACCTGCCTGGCATTCTCTTTCAGGCCTCAGAGCCAGCCAGAGCCAGAGAAGGCACAGGCTGCACCACCTGTAGGGCCTTTGCTGACTTGACCTTGTCCTGTGGACCACACTGCACCCAGCCATGTCCCCTTCTCTATAGTCAGAGGCATCCCACCATCTATTTCTAGGCTTAGCTGGGCCTGAGGACTACCCAGCCAGCTGCACCCCTGTCCTCACCTACAAGGGCAGCATGTATTCTCCCCAGTGGGGCCAGACAGTGCCTGCATACTCTGCTTGGGCCTGGTTCAGCCATCTGCCCAGATGCTCTGCCCTAGGGCCAGCTAAGCCATATCCCAGGACCTGGGTTATGCTTGCCTCCGGGTACCAGTGGTGGTAGAGGGATGGACTAATGAACATCAGTTTTGGACTCTTGAAAGAAGTAGTACAGGCTGTGTGGGTGGAAGCCCTGAGTGTAGGCCTAGATTTAGGGTGACCTCAAGGGAAGAGGTGGCAGCCCGCGGCCCTAAGAACTGGCCTATGCCCTCTTGGCCTAGCTCACTCTTTCTATGCCCCTATACCAAATTGATCTGCCTGGCCCCAGGCTGCTTTGTGGCTCTGAGAGGTCCTGGCCACCACCCCTCCACATTCTCATGGTGCCTATGCTTGCAGCCTACCCATGTCACAGCTGTCCAGCACGTTCAAGGATCCTCCCCACCACCCCAGATGCTTCCTGGAGCTCAGGGCCTTGAGGGCCTAGAGTCATCACTGCATTTCTCTACGTGAGCCCACAAGCCTTTCTTTCCCCCTTTATGCCATACCAGGTCCCAGGCCTGCCTCCAGAGATGGTATACTGATTATGTAGGCTTTTTTTTTTTTTTTTTTGAAAGAAAGGTTTATTTAGCTCAGATTTGTGGAGGTTTCAGTCCATACTCAGCTCACTCCCAGGCAGGGTGGCGTAGCAGAGGGGCAACAGTTCATGGCTGTGGAAAGCAGCAAAAGCAGTGAGAGCAAAAATTAATTGTATAAGCTTTGTCCTATCTATAAGAAGCTTAATTGGGTGGGGGAGAGATTTTAATCCACCAAGCACATATCAATTGGCCCCAGGAGGAATGAAGCTAGTAGCTCCTGGTGCTTAGAGAATGGGCCAGCTGGGTCCCCTCCAGGGCTGCACTGGGACAATCAGGCTTGCCACAGCACCCAGCACTTTCCCATTGCAGTCCTGGGATCTGAGACTGGGGACAGGCCTGCACTGAGGCTCCTAAACACTCGGGCCAGCCTGTGGCCTCTTCTGGGCAGGGACAGGCTGTGGGGACAAAGGTCATGGCAGAGCCAGGTGACTCCCACATTGATGCTTCACCTTCTCTATCCCCAGGTTGACATCTCTGCTACCTGGGATCAGGAGTCACCAAGATGCCCATTTTGGAAAAAGTTCCCCATGAAGTGGCTGCAAAAACTCCTAGCAGGGAGGAGGAGCCTGTGAGTGAATTTTGGGGCCCTCTCTTCCCCACCTGCTTGATGGAAAGTAGGGTTGACCCTCAGCTGTCACCTGTGCCCAGGTTGAGCCTGCATGTACTAGAGTGGTCAGGGCCACTGGATATGCTGTCGGCCACATTTGCTTATCCCAAGGCTGGGAGAACTGCCTCCCAACCTGGTTCTACCTCCAGTGGCTCTGAGCATGGTGCAGTGACTCAGGGTGAGGTTGCCTCCTGGTGCCAAGCCCTGCTCTCCCCATCTGCTGTCACACTCAGCCCTGGGACACCAGGCACCATCTTCTCCACTGGTCATAGGCAATGCTTCCTCTCGGGTGAGTGACCCCCTGCTCATCCTGCCTAGCTTCAGAGTGATGGAGCTTGACTTTTCCTGCCATGTCCCTCTGAAGCCTGCTCATCCTCTGACTTCACAGACCCCCTCAAACTCATGAGGAGAAGAGACAAGGGTGAGTGGAGGGGCAGCTCTGGCTCACTGGGGGTGCTGAGTAGGCTGCATGCTGCCCAGATCTGTCCTCTTCTGGTCTGACACCCCCACTTACCAGAGCAATGGAGACATGATCAGACAGGCAGGGACTGTCACCCGCCATCAGCATGCACTCACACACTTGCTCATCTGCACCCAGGATGCAGGACCTCCACTCTGCCAGGAAAGGGGGCTTCTGCTGCCGCTGGGGGACTCGACCAGCCCTTGCAGACAGGCAGCCCACTGTTTGCCAATGTTGTACAATTTTGTTTTTGTTTTGTTTTGTTTTTCAATGGGTCTGGCTACGTAGACAGGCTGGCCTCAAACTCATGGAGAACCTCCTGCCTCAGCCTCCTAAGTGCTGGGATTATAGGCACACACCTCGATGCTGACTAATGTTGTATAACTTAAGCAGTGATGTGAAAAGTCCTACTGTCAGGGGCCAAATGAAGGAGAAAGAAAGGAGATGTGGGGAATGGGACAAGAGAAAGGTGGAGAAAGGCCCAAAAGAGAGAAATGAACAGAACGTCTTCTGTTGGGACTACTTTTGTTACCAGGAACTCAGTTTCCTTACCTTACATGAGGGAAGTCCCTGCCCTGGCTCTGTAAGTGGCCCTAGATGAATGTTGCCCACCCAGGAGTGCAGAGCCCACCAGGAGGAACCTGTGGGGCTCTCCCAACCCCAGCCTCACTGTACTAGTCTCAGGACTTAAGATTTATTCTGGAACATAAGGCTAGAGCAAAACATTCAGCGTGCCTGCTCGGTGCCAGTTGTTTTCCTCAGTGAGTTCCCTCAGTGGCCTTCTCTGGTGGAAGTGGTCATGACCTGTGATGAGGAGCCTGGGGAGCTCCCTGCCCAAGGCGACCAAAAACCCTACCTGGCTTCATGAGCAAGAGCTTGGGATGCCAGCCTCTCCCTATGTGGCATCTGGCAGAGCTGATTTGTCACCAGGGCAGTGCTGACCCATGCCTGGACTGTCCAGCCTCTCCCTCAATGAGCAATGATAGCCACTAGCAGTGTCAGTAACAGGACTCATGTAGCTGTCCATTAGGGTGGGAGCACTTTCCTGGGAGGGTCCTTGTGAAGCTAAGGGCTACCGGCTCTGACACGGGAAGAAGCCCACGGTCAGCAGCAGGGCTGGGCAGGAACCAGGCAGGTCGAATGCCAACAGCCACTTTTTCTTATGCACATTGTGCCCTCTTGGGCCCCAAGCATAGTGAGAACAGTGACAAAAAACAGGGACATCTTTATTTGATGATTCACCTGAGCTGACCCCTAACTACAGGCCCCAGGCTAGGGAGCAGGGATGGGACAGGGTGAAACACACATCAGGGACAGGCACTGGCCCTGCAGAAGGATAGTGAATGCCTGTGCCCTCTCCCCAGGGGCTGCCCAAGCTGCCAGTGCCCCCACTGCAGCAGACACTGGCCACCTACCTGCGGAGCATGCAGCATCTGGTGCCTGAGGAGCAGTTCCGGAGGAGCCAGGTCATCGTGCAGCAGTTTGGGGCCCCTGGTGGCCTCGGTGAGACCCTGCAGCAGAAACTTTTGGAGAGACAGGAGAAAACAGCCAACTGGGTAATCACTGACAGGGACTCCAGGAAAAGGGGCAGGAGACAGAGGGGAGACAGACAGGGAACAGGAAGGTTTTGGGTAAGGACAGGTGGGTAACACAGATGGAGCAGAGGGGGAGAGCAGGGTGGTGGACAGATGGGGATAGAAGGGTAATGTGGGTTGGGTGGACAAGGTGAGACTAAGGGGCAGCAGGATGAGAGACAGGGCTGGAAAGGAGAGGACAGGCATGGAGGATGGGGACATTGGGGGGACAGGAATAAGAGGGACATGGGACAGTGGAGGGACAGGACAACAATGGGGGAAGAGGTGGTGTAGGTCAAGATGACCAGCAGGACTGGTGAGCACAACCACAGCCCAGTGATGTGAAATGAATACATGAACAGGATCCCCCACAGGGCTCAGGATGGGGCTGGTGTTCTCCACTGGTAAGGTGCCCTACTTTGGAGGTGTGGCTGTTGGGTGACAGGGCCCCTTTCTGTGCTCTTGCAGGTATCTGAGTACTGGCTGAATGACATGTATCTCAACAACCGCCTGGCCCTGCCAGTTAACTCCAGCCCTGCCATCATCTTCACCCTGCAGCCCTTTCAAGACACCAGTGACCAGCTCAGGTAGGACCTTGGGTCACTGGGATACGCTGCTGCTCTCCAGAGCCAGGCACCAAGGGCTCCGTGGGGGAGCTGTCCCCACTACCATCTGCTGGGCTGGCTGCACCCATGATGGCAACGGATGGGAGTGGAATGGGCCAGCAGAGTGGGCAGGGCTCCGCTCTCAGACCTGAGTGGGACAGGCCACAGCAGTATAAGGAAAGCAGCAGGATCACCAGCCAGGAGTCCCTACACCTACTCCCCGGCAGCCTGGCAGCTCCTTGGCTATGCATAGGTGAATGTGAGAAGAGCTAACCAGTGGGTGTCTGGGGGTCGCCCCTACCATGGAGCCAGGCGTCATCGCCCATGGGTGGGGAGGGATGCAGCTCCCTGTGCAGCTCCCCGGGCCCCTTCCCAACATGGCATGCACTTTCCCTTTTATTAACCACTACAGAGTAAATGATGGCTTTTGCCCAAAATACTGAGTTTCCCAGAACCCCAGGGGCCCTGCCCTGTGCAGCTCCTGATTGGCCTTTATAGCCACCCTGTCTTTCCCTGTGGCTCCTCCTTCCTCCTTCCCCAGACCTCTTCCAGATGATTCTTGTTCCCTGTCCCTGAAGAGCTAGCTGCTCCCCCTGGTTCTCACCAAAGGACCGGTTTTAACCCAAGAAAGCACAGGAGGATGTGGCAGCAGGAACCACATCCCATTAGTTTGAGTGTTTGGAGTATGGTGGGTGATGACTGTGCTTGGAGCATAAGTGCAGAGAGTACAGAGGAGGATGAAGGTAGGAGGAAGAAGAAAAGCAGGAGGAAAGGGGAGGGAGGCTGGGAGGAGGGGAGCTGGAGGAGGCCAGCTCGGGCCTGTCTGTCTCTGCAGGTTTGCAGCCAGCCTCATCTCAGGCGTGCTCAGCTACAAGGCCCTGCTGGACAGGTAGGCGAGGCCATCCTGGAAGGCCAGTGCTCTGTATGGTGCGGCTAGGGAGCTCAGGATGTCAGGGACCCTGCCTCTCCCCCTACCCCTTCCTGGCCCCAGTGACAAAGCCAATTTCCCCTGCTTCCTGCTTAGCATCAGGATGTCTGGTAGCCCACTGACCTGACCGGGAAGGGCCCCTCTTCCTTGGCCCATGCTTGGCCATTTGAAACACCCCAATCTCCCTCCTTCTGCACCCACAGGGGAATGGGTCTGGCCAGGTGGAGAGAGGATGAGGAGAAGGAAGAGGAGAAGGAGGAAGAGGAGGAGGGGAAGGAGAAAGAGAAGGAGGAGGAACGGGAAGAGGAGGAAGAGGAGGAGGGGGGAAAGTCAGAAAGGCAGGCAGAATAAAGTGAGACTGTTGTGCTCAACTGGATCTGCCTCCTGTCTCTGCCTGCCTTGGGCTGTGGCTTGGGCCTATGGCTGCTCTGAGAGGAAGGCAGGGCCCCCAGATCCAGAGGACAGAATGGCCATGGGTCAGCAGACCTGAATGTGAATGCAGACTCTGAAGCAGTGGGCATGTAGACCTCAGGCAAGGCTGCTAAATCCAAGGGCTTTCAGTGAACCAAGACAGCAAACCAACCCCACCCCTGCTGCTGGGGACTAGCACTGGCCTTGGCCCCCTCTCCTGCCTCCTTTTCACTCAGCTTCCACCCCACCTGTGTCCACTCTGCCTTCAACTGTGCTTCTCAGACTAGCTCTGGGGGAGGACCATTTTTTAAAAAAAATTACTATAAAAATGTTATAAAGGCACCAAAGTCAAGAACACATGTTTATTATGGGATGTAATAGATAGGCTATTCCCACCATATCACTGCACATGTTTCTGCCACTCACCTTATTGTGGGTCAGCCAAGAGGTTTGGGCATCAGAGGCAATGCATGGGACACTCCACCCCGCCTACTCTCACACAGCTCCTTACCCTTCAGGATCAGCTCAGTCAGAGGGACTCATCATGCCCACCCATGGCCATCTCCTCCCACTCCCACCAGTCACCCAGTGCTGCTGGCTGACATTCTCTTTACTATACTATTTGTGGTCTACTCCCCACCCATGCACCCCAAGACTCACACCATCAGGGCAGGAAAATCAAATTTTGTCTGCCACTAAATCCTCAAGTCCTAACATAGTGCCTGACATAAGAGGTATTCTGCAAATATGTGTTGGCTTCTGAGAGGGCGAGAGGATGGATGGCTGGGTGGGAAGTGGTGAATGGCTGGATGAATTGATGAATGAGTGAGTGGTAACTGATTGAATGGATGCATAGTGAGTGGGTGGATGGATGGTGGATAGATGGATGGGTAGGTAGGTAAATGGATGGATGGATGGATGGATGGATGGATGGATGGATGGATGGATGGGTGGATGGATGGATGGATGGACAGGTAGCTGGATGTGTAGGAGATGGATCGATGGATGGTAGCTAAACAGATGGATAGTGACTTGAGAGGTGACTTGGTGAATGAGTGGATGGATGGTGGATGAATGATGAATGGATGGATGGATGCATGCTAGATGCTTGGGTGGTGGATAGACAATAGTACATACATGGATGGATGGTGGATAGATAGGTATATGGATAGTAAATGCATAATGGTGAGTGGGTAGCTGGACAGTGAATGGACAGATGCAGGGTGTCTGGTTGACTGGACCAATACGGGTGAACAGATAGATAATTGATGGTTGGATGAAGGGTGGATATGTGGATGGAAGGGAGGGAGAATGACAGACACAGTCATGCAGAGACCACAGGAGAAAGAGAATGTTCTGCCTTGGACTCAGAGAAGACTTCTGGAAGACATAACAAGGAATAGGCTCTAGAGGGAGAGGAAGCACAGTAGTAGAGTTCACAGTAGAGGAAAAAGCATACCCAGCAAAGATCAGCATAAGCAAGGGCACTGAGGCCTGATATCAGGTGCATTTGCATGTGCAGTGCATGAGCCAGGTGAGGGTAGAGTAGGGGACATTTGGGAAAACCTTGAAGGTCTCTGTGGGTCACAGAAATAGGGTGTTCTTCTACTTTCCAGCATGGAGGATTGAATGCTGCAGCTGACATTGTAAAGCAGGTCTGAGCTTGGTGTCCTGTGTTTGTTAATCAAGTCACAGCACAATGATGATCCTGTGCTTCATGGTAGAGCACCTCCTTGACAGGCACGGACCTCGGTTTTATCCTCCACTCCCCAAGTTATGATAGAACCAATGCTAATGTCTCCTTTCTCCCTCCACCTCTCATGGCTGCCTGCCTCTCCTCCCCTTCTCCAGCCACTCCATCCCCACAGATTGTGCCACAGGCCAGCTCAAGGGGCAGCCCCTCTGTATGAAGCAGTACCATGGGCTCTTTTCCTCCTACCGGCTCCCTGGCCATACCCAAGACACGCTGGTAGCCCAGAAGAGCAGCATCATGCCAGAGCCTGAGCATGTCATTGTGGCCTGCTGCAACCAGGTAAGCAGCCCTTTGGAGCTACTGTACCTTCTTGCTTGTGGAGGGCATGGAGCCAGTGGTGCCAGATGTGCTCATCCATTCCTGCCCTGAAGGTGCCCAGCCACCTCCCAGAGTCACATGATGAGTTGGGGTACAGTGGCCCCTTTACTTCCTGTTCTCTTGGCTAGGAAGGGGCTGGTCACTATTAAAGAATCCTTCTCCCTGCCTGGCCCACATTTCAGCCCCAGGAGCCAGATCAGGTTGGCCGGGGAGCCCAGCATGCCCTCAGCTTCCACCTGCTCATCAAACCATTTCTGTAGTAGCTGAACTCTGAACTTCCTAGAGACCATACAAAGACACACAGACAGGTAGACATACAGACAGTGCTAAGGGCTAATGGACAAAAGCCACAAGGGGTCTCATTCATTTACCCTCATTCATCCCATTGAAATTTCATAGAGACATGCAGGGGACCCATTGGTCTCCCTTTGGTGGACAGGAATGGTGAGGTCCCAGACTTGGCCAGCACCCCAGGGTCTTGCCAAGTCAGTCTTCAGACGGGTCCCATGGAGCTGGGAAGAGCCCTGCGTGGGATCCTGACCCCTATCAGTACCTGCTGCCTCATGTATTCTGTTTGTTGAGGCTTCACAAAATATTACATCTGATAAAAAGCTTTTTTTTTTTTTTTTTTTTGCTTAATTTTGGGAGTGTTTAATGGTTTTGGTGCTTTTCACTAAACCCTTTCAGGACCCCTCTCCCCTGCCCCATGCTGTTCCAGTGTGTTCTCCATGAGCTCGCTTCCCACACATCCAGTAACTTGGGACTCAGTGGCAGTCTGGCTTCTGAGGGTGGCCATGACGACTTTCCACAGGCAGACCCTGACACGCAGCAGCACCCACACAAGGAAACCTTTCTCCTCTTCACTAGAAAGTCCAAATCAGCACCCCTATACCCTATAGGGTGCAGTCCCAATGCCCCAATTCTAGGACCTCCAGGCTCCTGCTCCCGTCCTACCATGGATACTACACAGAGTAGTGCAGGGATTGCTGTCCACCAGCTGCTGAGGACCTTGTGCTTTCATGGCCTGAGGAGCTGCAGAATGTCAGTGCCAAGCAGCTCACAGGCAGAGCAAGTGCGGGCACATACATGTGCACATGGATGCACAGAGAGTTTTGCACATTGGTTTGCAATCTTGCTCTGCACCTTGTCTGCTGGCTTGTTTTTCTCTCCACTCACCCATGGGTTGGAGGCCCAACCCTCCTTGTGGATCAGCTTTATATGTCACATAACAGTTCCCAAGTCATCTTGGTCCTTTCTGCACTGGTTGAGGACATGACTTTCCATGAGTAGTCAATGTTCTGTGGGGCTTTTCCCCACCTAGAAGGAAGTTTTGCTAGTACTATGCTAACACAAATAGGCAGTCAGGCATGCATTCCTTCACATGGCTCCAGGACATAGGGTGTCTCCCTATTCCTCAGGCAATGCTCTGCATGTGTAGTGAAACTGCTGAGCAGCCTGCACATATGCACATTTTCCATTTGAAAGACACTACCCTCTAACAGTGGTTGTGGCAATTCTGACCTCAGTGCCCCAAACACAATAGATTCACACAACCTAGGAGCCATACAGCCTGTTTTTTTGTTGTCATGTGTTTTGTTTTGGGGGATGGGGGCTAAGTTTAACCTGGCCTTCTCTGAGAGGGCAGTGTGGAATCCAGCACAATCAATAGCACTGAGCTGCTCTCCAAACTGGGGTAACTCAGAACCCCAAACACCCTGGGAGGGTGGAACCCAAGCATCCCCTGGCCCAGGCTCTCTCAGAAGGCTCACTTAAAGCCTGTGGCCTCAGTTAGCTGTCCCAAGTGACTGTTGATCTGTATTCCTGCAGTTCTTTGTCTTGGATGTGGTCATCAACTTCCGCCGTCTCAGTGAGGGGGATCTGTTCACCCAGTTGAGAAAGATTGTCAAGATGGCTTCCAATGAGGATGAACGCTTGCCTCCCATTGGCCTGCTGACGTCAGACGGGAGGAGCGAGTGGGCAGAGGCTAGGACAACCCTCGTGAAAGGTCAGCGCTCATTGGTTCCCTCTCATCTGCCCTGCTCAGGATGACCGTGAGGCGCCCTGAACTGGAGGTCCCTGTTATATGCTCCTGGTGTTGGGGTGATACTAGCTTTCTGGTGAGGCTGAGCAGCACTAGAACTGTGTTGCTGTCAGGAAGCTGGAAAGAGGTTTTGAGTGGGAGAAAGGATAGTCTCATGCGGTACTGGCTATGATTTACTGATTGGCTGCCTGTGCTCTTTTAGAGATTAGATTCACTAGGAGTGTAGTTGGATGGTGCTTCAGGGAGGACCCAGCTCTGGGAGGGTCTCTGGTCTCCTTCCCCCTGATTTATTGTCCTGATTTATTTCTCTTCAAACCCATCCTTATCCTTACATTGCCCTCTGGTCCTATGAAAGCCTCCACACACTCTCAAAAGAAAGCTGAAAAAAATTTTTTTAAAAAGTAGGGCCCGGGGAGATGGCTCAGGGGAATAAGCGCTTTCCTGGCAAGAGCAAGGGCCTGAGTCCAATCCCTGGTTCTGCCAAAAAAAAAAAAAAAAAGAAAGAAAGCTGGTAACAGCCTTAAAATGTTTCCAGATCCTCTGGAAACTGCTCTTCAGATGAAAGTCAGCCCACGTTGGAACAAAATAGAGCACCTTCCTTTCCTGTCCACAATGAGAAGCAGGGTTCTAGGAGGCCTCATCTGTCCCTAGGTATGGCAGCAGGTCAGGCAGCTACTTGCCCAGCCTGCATCTACACTGAAGACTCTGGTGGGCCCGGGGTTGAGGTGACAGGAGACAGGCCCCACCCTAAGCATCCCGGTGCAGGCTCAGGCTAGTGGGTATGGGTAGGGGACCCAAGTGCCACATTTACCTGTATAAGGCAGTAGACACCTTGGGTGCTGCATCAGTGCTCCAGGACTTCAAAGAGGGGAGAAGACCTGTGTCAGGAGTGAGGAGCTAGAGCAGGCACAGGGTGTCATCCAGGCAGATAGACAAATGTAAGTAAGGCCACCACTCTGCCTGGTTGTGTTTGTCACTGCCTGGGGACTACAGGAGAGTGGCTGCCAGTAAAGGTGGCCAGGAGGAACATCCTGGCTGCTCACTGTCTGACGCTCTTTGAGGTCTCTATCTCTAGGAGCTCCTCCTTCCCATCTTGAAGGGCTCATGACCCTTGCCTCCTGGCACAGTCCTTCACATTGGCCACCACCACCTTGGCCATATGTCACTAGCATTCTGAGAACAGCTTTGCCCACATGTGTTTGATGAACATGAATTCAAAGTTCAGGGCCATATCTGTGTGGTTGGACTTTTCTGCTGCTGGGGTTGGAACTCCCTGTGCTGGGGAAGCACCTGCCGCTGAGCTGCAGGCCAGGCCTGATCGTCTTCCAACTCCCCTGTGCAACTGCAGCAGCTGCAGAGTTGCATTCATTAGATAAAAGGATGAAGAGTGAATTAGAGGATGGCCATGGATATGCTTCCTTGTTACCAACAAACTGGGCTTTCATCCAATTATTGGGCACCTGCTGAATACGTTTCTAAACAGAGCACTACAGGGGCCACCAGGCGGTGTATGTGGACTCTGTTTTGGATCAGAGCACTGTGTTGGGATTAATTGCCTACCGTGAGAGGGTGAGTTAATTCCCACAGGGGATGGCAGTGAAATCACATCCCCAGCCTTGCCCCTCCAGGGATGTGGCAGGCATCAAAATAATCGCCTGTTTCCAGCCTGCTTTCCACTTTATTAGCAGGCCAGGCCCGTGACACTGACCGGGATCGCCTGGAGGTCTGAGTGCTTGGGCTGCACTTATCGGAATTAATTTGTTAATGGCTCTCGAGCTGATGTCTGAATGGAAGAGCTATTTCTGAGGGAAAGGAGAAAGCACATTGCCCCCCTGGGCAAGCAGACTGATCCAATTAGCACTGCTGACTGACCCACTCCTCCAGGGAGAGGTCCCCTCCCCCCATCCATGGAGAGGACAAAGGGTCACCCCTGCTGAATGTTTCTGTTTCAGAGTGGAAGACAATGGCAGTGTGGGCAGAGTTGTGAGCAGGGTGGGGAGGCGCAGGTGGATCTGAGTGCAGCTCAAAGCCTTGGGAAGCAAAAAGGAGTGAGAGAGACTGCTTGGGTTTGATTAGGCCACCGAGTGGTCAGGGCACAGTTTGGGGAGCTGGGGGACAGGCGGGGAGTAGGTGCAGTGTGTCTGATGTGTGCCCCATGGAGTGGTGTTGGGCTAGATCTATGTGTTGGGCTCAGAGAGAGGCCAGTACAGACATAAATCCGAGAGCTATCAGCACCCAAATGACATTTGAGTCATGAGCTCGAGTGAGATCATCTGGAAATAGGAGAGCAGGGTCCTGGGGTCAGGGAGAGAGAAATGCAGAAGGGATGAGAACAGCAGTTCATGGAACCAAAGAAAGCTAGAAGCCACAGCAACCAGATGGATAGTGGCAGGGGTGGCCACGCAAGGGCTGCTGTCCAGGGCTGACTGAGGGACGGGGCAGGCCGGGTTGCAGGCATTGGGCTGGAAGGAGCAGGACAGAGGAAGAGTGGCCATGTGTGGAGAGGCTGGCCCAGCAGAAGAAGAAACTGCCCACGAGACCCTCAATGTGCAGAGCTGGCCAGGGTGGGCAGCTGTTGAGACATTTGGGTGTTAATGGAGCAAGAAAACGTGCAGCTTACGGAAGAGCGTGAGGACCCAAGAAGTGCCTCCAGCTGGACAGGCAGGCACAGGGGTGTAGACAGGGCCAGGAAGGCATTCAGTGGAGGGAGCATCAAACGGGCTGGCAGTGGGGTGGGGGGCAATGGCTACGCAGAGAGCAAGAAACCATCCTTGTGGGGAGGATCAAAATCCGGGCTCCAGGTATGATGGAAATGTGTGGAGGATCCTAGCCTCTGGCAGCTCCTGGCTTCAGAACAGCAAAGACAAGTTGGTGGGTTACAAAGAGAGCTTCATGGGCAGTGATGTAGGGGCTGGTGCTATGCAGCAGGTGTCAGTGCCCATGCGGGTCAAAGTTGAGGGGCTGCACATGCAAAGGGAAGGGGTGAGGAAGGAGGAATTGCTTGGGAGTGGGAATAGGGCAGAGGAGCCCCCTACAGACTTGGGCCAGGGCTGCTTTACTGTGAAGAAAAACTGTCCCAAGAGGACTACAGGGGCTGGGCTGCAGCAGCACACACTCAGAGGAGCTCTTGCAGAGGAGTTGGCGGTGCAGGCAGTTGGCAGGTACAAGGGCACAAGGCAGGTGGTACAGAGCTCAGGGAGATGATGGGGGAAAGGGCAGGAGGTACAGTGGACATTGCCAGCGACATCCCTTCTAGGCCTTAGCTCCAGGGAAACCACTCCAAGCTGGGGCTAGCAGTAGTCACAGGGCCTGGGCTCCATCTGGCCCATAGCAGTACCTGAGTTAACACCACAGAATGGGTGCACTAACATCACCCTGGCTTCCCATCCTCCCATCTTCCTTCCCTAGGACCTGGGTGCTGTCCAGCAGGAGGACTTGGCCAAAGCAAGCTCCTCTCACCCCTGGGGAGGCCTGTTCCTGTCTGATGACCTTCATGTATCCACATTCTCCCCAGAGACACAGTGCCAGCCCATCCACCAGCCCCAGCCCAGATACCCCTTCCTGAGAGCTCTTGGGCTGCCCGCTGGCTCTCTGCCCTGACGCGAGTAGAGAAACCTGTGGAGATCGGGGGCAATGGGGGTGGCACAGCATACTGAAGCACACAGGGCTGCCTGCTGCAGAGCCTGTCTGCCTCCTACGGCTCCCTGGGAGCTTCTCACCCAGAGAGCATCACTGTTGGTGTCCATATCACCCACTGTCCCCCTAGGGGCCACAGTGCCAAGGGGTACAGGTGAAAGCACCATTTCCGACAGAGTCCTGGGGGTCCCAGCTGGTCACAGCACCGGTGGTTAGAGGGCAGCATGACTCAGCCCTGGCTGCAGACAGGGGTTGGCTCATGATGTCCGTATCATCTAGAGCATTCCTTTAAAGACAGGACAGACTATGGGCCCAGTGATTTTCCAGGGGTTGGGAGAGGGGCCAAGGAATCTATTTTTAAGGCATCCTTACAGTTTCCCTTGCAACCAGGTTGGGACCAACTTGCTTAGACACTTGTGGTTCAAGCATCCAGCCATCCTTGAGGCATTGCCCCCAGGGTCTTTGGTTTTTGAGATCCCCTTGAGATGGAAATCTTGCTCCCTTGAGCACAGGTGGAGTCTACATACCCTGGGCCCAGCAGTCCAACCTTTGAGGAGATTGGTGGAGAAGCCAGCACTCCGGCTTCCTGCCTGAGGTTTGCAGTGCCCCCGCCCCGGGGGGGGGGGAGACACATCTCTCAGGACCTCCCTTCCCATTGAGCTGTGAATCCGTGGCCTTCCTGAACCCAGAAGGAGCTAACACCGTTATCCTGGTCTGGAAATTTAATTAGACGTTCGGCCCTGAGTCTGGAAGACGGCAGCACTTGTCAATTTGTAGGAAAAGGATGGCCAGCTTGGAGAGGCCCCCAAGCCTGCTGGCTTTCCTGGGCTCTGCGAAGAGACCCTGTGAACAGACCACGTGGGCAGATGCTCTCTGTTTACACAGCCCCGTAAATATTTATCCCCAGCAGCCAATTAGAGCTCAGCTGCTGCTTCCGAGGAGAGAAGGGACAGCAGCTGCAGACGCTATGGTCACGGCTTACAGGAACCACTTGGTATGGGGGTGCTCGGCTGTTTAAATCCTGCCATCCAGAGCAAGGCAAGCCTGTTGGTTTTAAAACCAATTACACATGAGCAGTAACAGCCTCTCTGATTTAATTGGCCCCAAAATATCTCCCCAGCTCCTGGCTGAATGAGACTTCCTTTCTTTGGGGAGGACGGGGGCCCTGCCTCCCCCAGGAGAAGTGTGGGGCCCTTCAGGGACCAGGAGGTTCCGACAGCGAGGAGCCTGGCCATGCCCTGGTCCTCAGTGTCCCGTGTGCTTGGCTTCCCGGTCTGTGGCATGGGGGTAACAGCCTGCCTGTGGGCAGGCCGAGGGCATGGCCGCTA